TAATAGGTGGGATGGAAACTCTATTATCATCATCAAATAACTTGGTTTGTGTAATGACCCAGGACTGCAAGGCTTTGAAATACCTGCAGAATTGGACATTAAGTTCAGTTCCCTACTAAGCTTCTGTCTGCTTTTTTGAACATAACAGTGTTGTCTACTACTACTGAAAACTAAACTGTGGTCAGTTTTTTTTTTTTACTGAGTACTGTATTCTCCAAACCGCCTGCATAAAGAAGTTTTGCTAATCCAAAAATCATTTTTGAAACATTTCAGATTCCTAATACGATAAGGCATTTAAAAAAAAAAAAGCTTTGTCAATTTAAATAAAAAGATATCTTTATTTGTTCACTTTCAGAAAGGATTTATTTAAGGCAGAAAATAAAAGGAAAATAAACCAGTGAATTTGCCACATTGTCAAAAGGTTTTTTTCTCCTAAGATTTTTATACTTTTTTTAATAAAGTATTTTGTGTAAGTTTTTAAGAATATGGTATATTTACAGTATAGCAAAACTATTCCATTTTCTAGTATGCTTTTAAGAAGAAATGTGTTCTAGTTTAGACAATTGATAATCTACAGTGTACAGAAGAAAGGGGGCCTCAAAGAAAGTAAAACTTTGTTTCCTTTTCTTGTTTTTGCTTTGTTTATATGCATTCTAAACACATGCAATATAGGCAAAAGTTTATTAAAACCAATTTCAAGATTACTGTCCACACGGCTGCAAAACTAAAATTGTTACACAAATTTAAATCAGCTGACTTCCATGTACATGTGGAAATCTACTTGTTTTTAACAATTCCTAATCTTAATTTCATCTCCAACTAAATCCAATCTAAGTATCATTAACTGCATTTTTTTCAATAGCAATAAAAATATGAAATAATTTACCTACTATATGTGTATCCACCTAATAATTTTAACAGCTCTTTACCCACCCCATTCCTCTTCCCTGAGAGTTAAAACACCACACAGGTGTGGTGTTAGTGTCCTAAACAACAAAAAGTTTGATTCCCAACTAACACTTAACTGTTAACCTTAATCTCAGTCTGTTTTCTTACTAAGTATATCCCCACCTTATGTTCCAAGGATACAGCAAGTGCACCTGTCCAAAAATGGGAACCATTCCACATATGGCAATTTGAATTTAAATTTAATTTATACTCAGTTCCTCAATTGTACTAGCCATGTTTCTAGTGTACAATAGCCATATGTGGCTAATGGCTATTATATTGGACAGAGCAGATAAAGGACATTTCCATCACCACAGAAAGTTCTGTTGTACAATTAGAGGGTAAGTTTTCAGTAAATCACAAATATTATCACCACGCTACACTAACTTAACATTTTTCTAGGAAAGAAAGATTCTGAGACTTTTAACAAACAACGTAAGTCATTCAGGCAAAAGTCCTAAAATAGATTAACGATATATGGTATCTTAAGTACTCCCAACTTAGATGTTTTTTCCTTATAAGTCACATTAAGATCTGAAGAGAAAAAAGAGAAGAGAGCAGCAGCAGCAAGTCACCAACCTAGCAACACCTGATGACAAAGCATTAGGGTTTGCCCAGCTTTTCCAAGTGGGCTGAAATCTAAAAAGGACTGTATTTCGTTATATCTTGCCAACCTCATTTTTCCTACCCTTAATCAAGAACCTAAGAAACTGGCATAAAGATCTGGTAACGTTCTTCAAGCTACTTAGATAGACAGCATCAGAAGTACACAAAGTCACAACTTTCTAATGACTTTGTTTTACAAACTGTTAAAATACTGCATAATCACAGCAACAAACACAGTGCTTCTGGCAAACACAAACAACTCTTCTTTAAGCTGAACTCCTGCATAATATAAAAAGCTCATCCTCAGCCCCTTCTCTAGACAAATTATAGACAAGACACACTTCGCAGACATTCTGAACAACTAATGACAATGCTTTAGTAAGAAAACAGTTAAGCTACTGTAATAAGGAAAAAAAGGCCAAATGTGCAACAAAATGGAATTTTAGGTATTAACCCAACTAGGACAAGCCAGGTTCATACACTACAGAAACTGAAATTTTTGCGAACTGATGTATAAACCAGTTTTCCTTGAAAAATTAAGGCAAAAATATACTTCATTATTTTGAAATCAAGGTTTCCAATTAAACAAAAAAAACTAAATTCATTCCCTACACAAGTTTACTACAAAACAAGTATAGTACAAGTAGCAGCTCAAAAACTGAATGCTGCTGGAATGCTAACAATTACCAAGACAGCAAACTTGATTAAAGGCATTGGAGTGTGCCCCACTTTTCCTTTAATGGGGTGGGGGTGGGGATGGTGGGACGGAGATGGTTTTACAGGGATACAGACACACCTTAAAATCAAAAAGCTTACTATAAAAACTGAGGAAGCGCTCCCCACCAGAAAAAAAAAAAAAAACCTGAGGAAGGCAAAGCAATTTTGAAAAACACTAACTCTACTTTTTTAATATTTTCATTCCCAATATAAGAGAACAGTAAGTACATTATATCCCTTTCCTTTCACTGAGTGGTTTTCACATTTTTTCCTGTATACACCTTACCACAATCCTCTGGCACTTTGATTTTAGCAATGAACTTAAAGGTTCTGCCACACTTCCCACCAAAAAAAAACTGGTTAAGATGTTTAATCAAAAAATCCTTTTCTATGAATGATTAAAAACAACCCGTAGTACATCCTTATCACAGAATTCTCCTCTGAATAAAATGCAACAAACTGATATACCCAACAACTTGGATGAATCTCAAGGCAATTATGTTGCATAAAAAAGGCCGACCCTAAAAAGTTATATACTGTATGATTCTTTCTAGTAAACATTCTTGAAATGTTACAATTATAGAGAGTACAGCGTAGCAGTCGTTGCCAGAGTCTGAGGATGGAAGGGATAGGAGGGAAGAAGGGCATGGTTCTAAAAGGGCAACAGAGGGATCCTTGTACTGATGGAACTATTCTGTATACTGACTGTAATGTTGGTTATGTAAACTACACATGTGGTATCACTGCACTGAACTAAATACACACACCAATTAGTACAAGTAAAATGGGAAAATATATGTAAGACTGTCTCAAGGTGATACTACAGTTTTGTGAGGCATTAGCATTAGGGAAACTGAGTAAAGGGCACAAGGGATATCTCTGTATTACTTCTTAAAACTACATGTGAATCTACAGTTACCTCAAAACAAAAAGGTTGCTTTTTTTAAAAGTGCTACCCTAACAATTCAGAGAGTTTGACAATGAAATGGATATCACCCAATTTTAGGGAAAGATGGTTAAATGGTATTACAGTTATACAGAGGAATGTCCTTATTCTTAGCAGATGGCTGCTGAAGCATTTAGGGATGAAGTATTATGTCTACATCTTTTAACTCTTACCTGTGTCTGGGAAAAGAGAGAAAGCAAATCTGGCAAATATTATACTTAGGTAAAGTGTTTATGAATGTTCCTTGTACTCAATTTTTTGGCTTGAATTTTTTCAAAATAAAAAGTTGGGGAGGAAGAGTAAAGAAAAACTATCTTAAAGTTGTATTACAGTCGAACCTACACACCAATTAATCTTTTAAGAGGTTTAAAAATAGATAAATTGGTCTAGTAAAACTAAATTGTCGTCTCCCCTATACTGCTATTAGTCTTAAAAAATTGGCAGAAAGGATTTCAAGGTAACTAAAAGTTACATGGCACTGCATGTGACTTTTTGATGTTTTTAACATGAATTGACTAAATCTATATACACAGGTATATTTCTGTAAAAATCAAAGGTAGTTCAACATGGATTACTCTAATTTCTAGAAAAATTGGATCCCTAGAATTTAATAAATCAAAATTGCAAGAGAAAAAGCTAACACTTTCATATACTCCAAATTTTAAAAGGCTTAAATTTGGCAAATACTGTGAACTAAAGTGAAGTTAATTCCTTCACAAAAGAAATTTTTGCATGCAAGGGGCAACCCACACGCTAAATACCAAACAAAAATGCGCTACAATGTATTAACTATAGTACTAAAGCTAAAAGGCATATTTCACAATGTAAAGTCCCTCCAAAAGTTATTGCATTTTATGGTATAAAAAAATGCAAAGCTGCACACATCTGAAATGTAGGGAATAAATGAGTTTGAGCTAGAGTCAAAAAGATCCATCTCAAAAGTTCTTATATTGTCTTTTCTCTGCTGCTGAATTCTTGCATATGTACAGACTTCAGTCTTTAAGAAAATCCGTATGCGAAGGTCTCACCTAAAAGCTCTAAACTTTTCACTTCCAACCGGACCGCCTTCTCGGCAAGGAGCCCCACCTCCAGAGTAAGTTTTTGGGGTGGGGCTGTTTCCCGCTCGGAAACTAAAAAAAATAAATGTCTCTTTCCTACTCCAGAAAGGAAAGAAAAAGAGGCCGACTTGTAGACTCAAATATACAAGTGACTACAGGAGGGAGTTGTTTAGAAAGCTTCCCTCCCTCCTCCAAGTCATCCAGTGACCCTGGGCAGAGCGGGTACAGGTGAACACGAAGAGAAGGGAAAGAGGGAGGGACGCACAACGGAGAGAGAGCCGCGCTTGGTCAATGAATGAGCTGTGCCGCATCCACACCACCTGTTCCTTCCAGGGATGCCACCCCAGACTGCCGGCAGCGTTCCCGTACCACCCGGGCCATGACTTCTTTCCGTATGGACCTCTTCCCTCCTAAAGGCCAGGCCTCTGCTCCCTGGACTGCAGGCGTATGAAAACCCACAGTCTAGAAGCTAGGAGAATGGGGCCTAGTCCGGAACCCGGCCTCCGAAGCGTGGGGCCGGGAGGAGGAAGCCTGTGGACCCGGGCGCGCGGGCCGAAGTGGGAACCGTAGGGAGCGGGACCAAAGAGTGCATTCCGCCTGTCTACGAGTGCAAAGGCGGGGTCCCGGGCGGGGGTGGCTCAGTGACCGGCCTGCCGAGGTTAGGAGTGACAGGCCCACGTACAGGCGAACTCCTTCCCACTGCTTGCCCGGAGCCTCACACTTACCAAGATCCTCTTGAAGAGCGCATTCTCCTTGGGCGGGAGGCTCACGGCCGGCATCGTTCCGGCTCCTCCCGCTGCTCCCGCCACCGCCCGGCTCGGTCAGTCTGTTTGTCCGACGACCGCCGCCGCCGCCGCCGCCGTTCCCTGGTTGCTTCAGCCTTGATTGCCCCGATTCACCACCGCCAGCAAGCCTCGGGTGTCACCGCGTCTCCCAACCCCGCAAACACTTTCCCCTCGTTGTCTTTTTTCTTTTCTCACTTAACGTTGCGCCGCCTCCCCCCACCACGGATCTCCGTCGGTAGTTCACGTGGTAACTGAACAGACCGACAGAAGCAGCCAAAATGGCGGACGCAGAAGGTTTTCCCACCCGGGTCACACCTCCTAGCACGCAGGCGCGATGACCTCCTTTCCCCACCTCCTCTGCCCTGGAGCTTGCTGGGAAATCTGGAGGCCCGCCCAGCTGGCGGAGAGCGTGAGGAGGGCGGTAGGCTCCGCACGTCCTTGCGGTGCATGCAGAAGGGTCTGGAGGTGCCGGGGGAGAGGGGAGGGTATTCGTAACTTCGTTTCCCATTGCCTGCACATCAAAAATAGCCTTTCTGCTTTCATTCTTTGGGTAGACTCTCCCAGACTGATCACAGTTTGAACCAGCAGTGCTAAATGCAGGTATTCGAAAATTGGTCGTGGAGGAAGTGCCTCAACAGCAGACGCGGAAGGGAAATGAAGGCTTCACCTTAGTGGGAACTTCTGAACAGAGAGGGAGAGGGCTTAATGGAGTCTTAAGGTGTGAAAGAGCTTGACTAATTAAATGGGCCGGCTGGGGTATCGGTGATTTATTACTTAAGATGAGCCTGGAAAGTAGTCAGGTCCGAAATGCCATATTTGCACTGCCAAAGAAGCATTTGAAGGTTGAAATGTGTTTTTATTTCGATTGGGTCCATGCAATGCAGGGTTCACGCCTGTATTAGTCACCTTGGGATAGGGAACAGTTCAGGGACACTGATTTCCTGGAGCGGGCTTCAAGCTAATACTTAGTGTGTGACTCATTGAACTTCCCATTACCAGAAATCCTCAAATCTTAGAAGCTGAAGAGTATCTGGCAAAGTTGCTAGAGAACTGCTGCAGCAGGCGAGGTCAGACCAGTTAGATACCCAGTAGGGCTAATCCCACACACGGACGTAAGTCATTTCATTCACAGTAGAACTAGCAGTAAAAGCTATTTTGAAAATGGCATTGCATTGGTAGTCTATACAATTTTTCACATATAAGCCATTTTTACCCATGATTATTTTTTATTATCCCTCTCCATGTCCTGAATTCCATCCTTACCATTCTTTGCACCTTGAATCGTTGAATTATATGTGCAGTAGCTTTGCTCTTTAAAGAGTATTTACCCAGATATTTTACCATTTTCAGCTTGCTCTTCTTTAATTCTACCTGTTAGGTAGGAGTCGAGTAAGGCTTCCCTGTGAAAAAATCTAGGACGAATGCTTGGGTTTTGTTGCTGCTGTCTTGTAAGCCCCCCTCTCCTTTTCCCTGAGTCATAAATAAGGTTTTCATAGTCAAATCCTGGAATTTCCTCAAAATCTGTGATGTCTCTTCAAAAGTTAACTGAGAAAATTCTATCTACAGGAAGCAGTTTTGGAATATGGTTAGTTTTTTAACCTTAACTTTTTCTTAAAGTAAAACTAAGAACAAACTTCGAATTCAAATTCATAAAAACATAAAAATATTTAGTGATAACCTTCAAGCTTCATTACCTCCAAGAGGTCTTTCTTTCAACTGTCTTTAGGTATTAAAAGGTAAAAAAATTTTCTAACTTCAGGAGTTAATTTTAACTTAGCTACTAACTTGGGTTTCCACATCTCTGGTTTCACATCCAAAAGTCTTCACAGCAATATTATTTGCTGAGCTGTTGTAAATTTCTCCTGTAAGTAATATACTATTTTCCCCTTGGGGGAAGAAAATTTCTGGTCTTTGAAACAAACTAGTTTCCACCAGAAGCTGGGTACCTGAATAGACGAGCCAGCAATATAGTTGGGCAAATGTTGTGGTCTTTTTGGCTGACAACAAATAAATACCTATTTTTAAGATGTGGTGTATACTATTCTGAGTCAACATTTATCTGAGTCATATACTAATTATGCACTTACAGATAACAGTTGGACCACACATGACTCGATTGCCTGAACTCAAAAATAAAATTCCAATAAACCTGATAGAACACAACTTTTTGCTAAATCCAGATCCCATTTAACAGATGTACCCTATGAATGACAGCTATGCAGGAACATATCCTACTAAGGAGAATTTTACTGCTAGTTCTACTGTTAATGAAATGATGTCCGTATGTGAGATTGGCCCTACTGAGTGTCTATCTAGTCTGACCTCACCTGCTGCAGCAGTTCTCTAGCAACCTTGCCAGATACTCTTCAGCTTCTAAGATTTGAGGATTTCTGGTAATGGGAAGTTCAATGAGTCACAATACTAAGTATTAGCTTAAAGCTCACTCCAGGGAATCAGTGCCCCTGACCTGTTCCCTACCAGAGACTAGATGATGATGATGATGATTTTATTCATCTTACCCAATGTATATGCATATTACTATTGTCAAAATGCTTCTTCCCCCAAAAAATAACTAAAAATAATCATTTACCTTGCAAAGTAATTCTATAAAGGAATATGTAGAGTGAAATGACTCACATCTTCATATATGTAAGACATTCTCTATTGACACATTTACATCTTTTTAATTTTTTAGAAATACAACATAGATTTATGTATTTGCCACCCAGATTTAACAAATGTTAACATTTTATGATTGTTTCTGATTGTTTTTTAAATAAAAACTTTCATCAGGAGCTCCATCCTACTCCAGATCCTGAATTTGATGTATAGTTTTCTCGTGCATCACAGATCAATAACCATATATGTAGTATGTTTACATTTTATACTGTTTTTAACCCTTGTTCCTCTTTAGCACTCTTTGGGTGGTGTGAGTTCAGTAAGATGTTTCCCAGTGGAAAAATCTGGTTTCCAAGCTAATTCAAATCTGCTCTCCCTTTGCCTGAATCATAAATAAGGTTTTAGCATTCAAATTCTGAAGATGATTAAATTAATGTCATGTAGCAACTTCTAACATATGAAGTTGCAATTGCTTCATTAGGATTCTTTTCAGGATGCAGTTTTCACCTACAGCTGCCTACTCCAAGTGTAGGGTTCCATCACCTCTAACATGCTGGGAGAAATGTGCTCATACTTCATCACTTTCCCAAAATACACACTAGTAAAAGGATACAGGACCACAAGGCTTTCCAATTTGCTTACTTGCTCTGTAAGCTCTGACTAAACATGGTTTCTGTTCCAACTTGTTGGAAACTAGCAAAAGCTGTGTCAGGACAAGCTTCCAAGGAATGGTGTAGAAAGGATATGTGACTGACAGGTTGCTGAATGGACAAGAAGTCATAAAGTTGAGAACCAACAACTGACTCAGCAAATTAGTTGGGTGGTTTGCTTATTTGTACATGAGTCCGGGAGGCTCAAACTAGCTTACAAATTATAAAGTGACTCACAGTTTGCAATCTAATCAGCCATCAGTTGCCTGTAAAAAGGAACCAGAAAGCATAGTACAATTGTTTTACTCTTTGTTCACAAATTTTGGGTTAAGGTTTTTTTTCAATAACATTGCTAAAGAAAATATAGAAGGAAAAGATATTTGCTAACATTAATTTTGCGTTTAAAATGAGACTATATGGCATTATTTAAAGAATTAAAGTATAAAAATGTATATCTCTTTAACCTACACATATTTTTACATGGTTTTCAGACATACTGAGAATTGAATGCACAAAAATCTTGCTCAGTTGTGAAAGATAAAACCTTTTGGTCAGTACAATGTCTTTGATGGGCAAAAACTAGTTATTTACAACTTCCAAACAAATTCTAAACTTCCCAGCGACCCTATATTATTAGTTTTACATTACAGATACAGAACTGAGGCATAGAGAGGTTAATTTGCCAAAAAATGAAAACAGCTAAAAAGTGGTGAGCAGGAATGGTTCTTTGAACTTGGCACTTTGACCTTGCTTACAGCCTCAGAAACTGCCCAAGCCTGTTAGGTTTGGAGAGGTCATGTAACTCGCCCTGAGCCACCGACAACGCCAGACAAGTCGTCCAGGCCCTCCAGGTGACCTGCAAAGCCTCATGGCTTTTGTGGACCCGCAGATCCACAAAAGGATCATTAGATCTGAATCAGAAGACCTCATCTGAAACCCAACTTTCCCAACTATGTGATCCTGAGCCTGTCATGTCACTTACCAGGATTCTTTTTTCCTCACAGGGTTGAGTCTTTACTCTGATGGTGCATGTAAACAGCCTTTAGGAACTGTCTTTTCATTATGAGGTATAATATGTCACCTTGGATGGTTAGCTTTGAGCTTCATCTGTAAATGGAGGATGATAATCACCGCAGTAATGCGGTCACGGTGAAAATAAAATGAGGCAATGTAGATAACCGTATATTGCATTAACCTGCAGTGCCTGGAACACGGAACTCAATCAAAATACTAGTTAGGCAGCAAGACACTTCATTTCCAGTTTTCTGGCTTATGTAGGAAGATTTTACTAAATCTCTTGATGAGTGTCGCTGGGGAAGGCGTCTGAAGTAAACGCTCAGAATACAAAGAGGTGGATACACCCACCTTTCCCCCCAGCTTGTAGTCATTTTCTTCCTAACCACACGTACCGGACCGGAGACTGAGTCCCAGGAACCCGGAGTACCTGGCCGTAACTGCGATTCTGAGTTACCTCCAGGCCGCGGTCAGCGGGCCAAGGAGGCCCGCGCCTCAGCCCGCTAGGGGGCGCTCGGTCGGGCGCCGACTCCGAGAGAGACGCAGCAGGAGGAAGGCGGAGCACGGCCCGGCAAGATGGCGGCGTCCGCGTTGTTACGCCCTTTCTCCAGGCTGTTGGTCCCGGCCAGGTTCCCGAACGACTGTGAGTGCTCCTTGTCACGCGGGCCGACCCGACCTCTCTGCCTGGCCGTCCCAGGGCGAACCCAGCCCACGGGGCAGGGGTCGGCTGCCACCCAGGCTGGTCCTTCAGTAACCTGCGCGCGCCCGTGTCCCGGAACCCACCACGCCCGCCGCCTCCCCGATTCTCGACTCCCTGTCACTCGCCGCCGACCCTCCAAATGCCACCCAACCCCTCTAGGTCTCTGCGAATGGACTTTGGGTCCTCCTGCCCCCACTCTGCAGGTTGGGTCCTGCAGACGCTTCAAACCCGCCCGCCCCGCGCCGTCTGCGGGCCCGCAGAAGCCCGAGGCCGTGCAGGCTGCCTGGAGGGCCGGACGACGGGCCTAGCGCCGCTCGGGGCGAGTGACGTGACCTCCCCGAACCTCTGTGTCCTTGGCTGTTTGAAGTGGGGGGTTGAAGGGAAATTAAATTCAGTAATATACACATAAGCGTTAGGTTACAGATTTACAGACTCTTCCCTGACCCCTTTTAGCTTCCGTGCGGTTAAAGTTCTACGTTCGGGAGCCGCGACATGACAAACCTGACTGGCTCAAAGTTGGACTGGCCTTGGGCACCTCCGCCTTCCTGTGGATCTATGTAAGTCTTTCCTCCCTTCTGTTGTGCGACCCCAGCACAGCGGAGAGGAATACCCTTGTGAGAGTGAAATGTTTCTGAGCTCATCTCCCTTGCAATAGGATATTTATGTAATTGCTAATAACCTATTTCTCCGCGAGGGAAATCCCAAGGGAGAAAAACAAATATTAAGATTTCAACGGCATTGAGAAAATACGATGTCGCAGAAATTTCTGTCATTCATTGTTACTTAGCATGGTTTTGCGATGAATGGCAGTTTAAATATTGATTGGCCTTTATTAATGAGGATGGAGACTAGTTGGGGATTTATGAAGGCACCTTTTTCAAAAAGCCACTGAGACAAACCATCAGTGATCAAGCTATACAAATTAAATTCCACTAGACTTACAAGCCGTAAGATTTGTAATCAATATTTGTATGCATACTGGGTTGGAAATTGTACGTGGTATGTACCAGCTTTTTTAAAAAATCTTTACAGTATGCTAAATGTTTCACATGTAAAATTTCATTTAGTCTTTTCAACAACACTGTGTGGTAGCTGCTGTTATCACTGACCTTTTACAGATGAAGAAAACACTTGGAGAAGTTAGTTTGCTGAACTCAATTCTCCTTGATCCCAGAGCTACACTGTAGACCACCGAAATACTGCCTATGTTTTTAAAAAGTGGACCCAAAGTATTTAAAATCTTTGTTTCTCATGGGTTTGGGATTTCTCCACTGTCACCCACCTCCAGATCTCTTTAGTTTGGATTTTCTCATGAAAACAGGTTCATTGACATGGGAAAGAATAAGAAATGTTGAAAAAGTCACAACTTAACAGTAACTGATCCTTTCTTAGTAATATTTGTTATAATGAAATTTTATATGTTCCTAAAGTTTTTCTAAATGGAAGTTTAATTTGAAATTGTATCTTTGATTGAAGCAGATGTCACCCTATATCTGCCATTGTTCCAGTTGCATATTCTGTCTGACAGTGATTCTAAGTGGCTGTCCTCCATAACATCTAATTAATACACTATAGTTGGGGAATGGGATTAGTCATTCACTCACAGTATCAAACTTCTAACGTTAGAAGATAATTACCCACCAACCAGTCTGGACCCCCATTTCAGAACCACCTTCGGGTTGGTTCTGTTGGTAGGGTATTCCGTTATATTATTTACCCACTGAATGAAGTGATTTATTTGGGAGAAGATGAATTTACAATGTTAAGGGTTGTCTTCTCAAATTTAGTATGTCAGATTGTAGTGAACACTTCATCATTTTTTGGACTTGTGCATCTCAACCTTTTTTTTTAATTAGAATAGTTGTAATTCTTTTGATCTACCCAAGTCCTCTTGCAAAATAAAAGTATCATTGATTAGCCACCTCCTCTTTAACTTGTCAGGAAGATTACACTTCTAATTTTAACTGTTGCCTATTTCTAGCTCATCAAACAACACAATGAAGATGTGTTAGAGTATAAAAGAAGAAATGGATTGGAATAAACTTTTCAAACTAATAGAGTAAGTATGCAGCTTTATAGGATGAATAGATTATGCAAGTTAATGTGACCTCTATAAGTAATGTGTTTTGGTTGTTTTTTATTAGGTTTTTGCTTTTTAGCACCTATCTTCCTGTCTGTGACATATATATGAATTTCTAATGCCTTAGCTCAAGCATTTGTCTTACCATAATCATTTTTAATAAACATGCTTTAACTATGTTCAAAGAAAGTTATGTTTAAGGATGAAACCAAAATCATATTTTCTTAAATAATATTGCTGTACACAGTGACTTCATAGACCTTAGAACAAGTTATTCTTTATGTATGTATTTCTCAATGTCTGTCTTATACCATACTTGAGTGTAAATTCCAAGAGAACAGTAACCCTGTCTATCCTAGTAATATCATGAACTGAGCAACTTGCCCAATGCCTGGCCCAGCTGGAGTTTAACATTTGTAGAATAGATGAATGTGTAAGGGCAGTAAATTGTCAACTTTTTTACTCTTTGACCATTTCATTATGATCATCACTACAACTAAGACCCAGTTGGGCAATTCTTAGTAAAATCCAACCGTGAACAAGACAGTATACTCTTAGGTGATTTACAAGAGAGAGTGGGTTTGTTTTTACACACACACACACACACACACACACACTGTATTTCTTAAAATTCTTTTAAAGAAATCCTGTATTAAACCTTTTATAAAGTGACAATCACTTTTATAAATCTCAACTTTCATGAGTTAGGTTGATTAAAGTAGATTATTTACATCTACACAATAAAAGTAGTAATCACTAACACTAGCATGCACTTTTTTTTAAACAACTTTCAAACCCAGCTGTTTAGAGTTTTTATTCTCCAGGATTTTTTGCTGCTTTTTCAATTAGTAACTACCTTGCCCATTTCACTACTTCAGGGAACAAACCAAAGAGATAAAAATGAAATAGACATTTAAGCCAAGTAGTTCTAATATTTTTTTCTCTTCATTCTAGGCATGCTCCATATAGTGATTGTAGCAATTCCTTTGGATTCACCAATCTGTTGAGTTGTGAATGTGAGAGAAAAAGTTATACGTGAATATATGTCAAGTCAGCGTTTGTGTTTTGCATCATTAAATAAAAAAAATACCTCTGTATTGTTCAGATTATGTATGTTTTGACAATGTGTAGAAAATATTCTAAGCTACATTATTAGAAATATTTTGATGTGGAGTATACCATCTGCTAACAGGGTCAGTGATAGTTAAGGACACACTGATAAGAAAACTTGTTAATGAGAGAGATTTTTAAATCACTGCTGAAGAATTCACTCCTTATATTTAATTTATAATCAAAACATTCTTTAGTTTGTCAGAGTGATCGAACTCTGTTATTTCTCAAAATTCAAAAAAGGCCAAATACTGTTTTCTAGAGGGACCATTTTGGTTAGTCAGGGAGAAAAGATATTTTATATTACCAGAATTTGTTCTGACTCCATTTCCTTGAATTTGAATGATTTTCATTTGGGTGACTTTTTTTTCATTACTACTTACAGTATCATGTTGCCCCTTGTTGCTAATATGACTTTCATCCATTGATTAGCTAACTCCTGACTGTTTAAATAAAGAGGGGAGAGAGAAGAGGATTAATAACACAAAATAAAATATACTTAATTTATCCCTCATCAAAACACTTTTTTGTGAATCAGTTAAAACTTACTTATATGATACTTCATTCACTTATAATTTAAACACTTAGAGTACCATACATTAAAATTTTTTTATTTGTGTCTCCATTCTGATATTAAGTAGAAAGGTTTATTGCATTGTAAATTGGTTTTGTGTGTTTGGCTCTGTCCAACACTTGTCAGGGATTCATGGCCCATTATTTTTGGAAGGCACTTCTGAACTTAGATTCAGAGTTAACATCATTTCAGAATAATTATTTAATCCAAATTCAGTGAAAGATCACATATAACAGTAACTACTAAAACTGTGTCAATTTGGAGTCCTAGGTGATAGAGCTGGGAAGGACTTCAAAAGTCGTATAGACCAATCTCATAATTTTACAAATGTGAAAAACAGAGGTGAATAATTATTTGCTCAACATTGCTGTGGTAGGGAGAATACTGGACCCCCAAAGGTGACTATGTGTATATGTTAGATTTTATGGCAAAGGAGATTAGGGTTACAGGTAGAATTAAGTTTGCTAATCAGCTGATGTTGAGATAGGGAGATTATCTTGTATTGTCTGGTTGGGCCCAAAGTAGTCACAAGGGTTCTTATAAAAGGAAGAAGGAGGCACAGAGTGTGTCAGAGTGATGCAGCATGAGAAAGATTCAGCTGGTCATTGCTAGCTTTGAAGGTGGAAAGGGGTCAACAACCAAGGAATGAAAAGTCAAATTCTCCCCTAGAGCCTGCAGAAAGGAACACAACCCTGCTGACACTTTGGTTTTAGCCTAGTAAGACCCATGTCAGCTTTCACCTACAAAACTGTAAGATAAGAAATTTTTGTTTTAAACCAAGTTTTTTACACCATCAGGAGGAAACAAATGTTACATGGTAATAAGACCAAGAAGTCAGGTATCAACTTCCAATTTCAGGCACTTTCCTCTAAAAGAAACACTTAAAAAATGCACATCCCCAAGGGGAACAGAAAACTCTTAAGACAACTTGAAATCCTGGAAACTAGTAGCCTTAAGTGGAAGTAAAATAATAACCTTATTAATATCTGCTGTATGTCAGGTCTTGAGAATATAGCTGCCCTGTGTGGACTTTCATCGTAATTGTGTTTGTGTAACTCCAGGGGGAGCCATTCCTGAAGCCCAGAGCTGTCCAAAACTTCTGCAATGATGGAATGTTCTGTCTGCTGTCAGTACAATAGCCACTACTCCCATGTGGCTCTTAAGCATTTGGAGTGTGATTAATGTGACTGAGTTTTAAATATTTAATTTTAATTAAATTGCCATATAGGGCTGGCTACTGTATGGACAGCACAAATGCAGATTTTTCTGTGAGAAACACCTCCTAGAGTTGTGCTACATAGTGGTGCTGGTAAAATGCTCTCTAAATTTAATATTGAAACCCAACTTGAAATATGTTATACTAAAAAAAAGATTATGAGGATACAGAGTGACTCACAGACCCCAAGAATGGGAATACACCTCGGCCAAGGAATAACGGGCCTGGAACTGAAATGTCATCTGACTCTTGCCCTTGGCTCTTCTCTCTGCTGCATTTCCTTGCATACAGACCTTCTCTTCCCCAGGCCACACTGTAAAGAAAAGGCCATAGTCAATAATTCCTTGGTTTACATCTCAATTCAAAAAAGTCTCTGGACTGAACTAGAATCATTCTGATTTCTTAATTTCCAAGAGGAACTGTGGTCAAATAATGGTTCCTTCAGTGATGTAAAAGGAGAGTTTCCATGAAAAAGAGGATGCATACAAAATGTTACATCAAATATGGTGAAGTTTTTTATACATCAAAGTCAGGTAGACCATTTTCTGGTTCAGTGTCTGTGAGGTAGTCATTTAAATTACTTTCTTAAGTTGCCATGTTATAGGTTGAACTGTGTTTTCCAAAAAGATACCTTGAAGTCTTAACCACCAGTATGTCAGGATGTAACCTTATTTGGAAATAGGGTAGTTGCTGATGTAATTAAGTTTGTACTGGAGTAGGGTGGGCCCTTAATCTAATATGACTGGCATATTTATAAAAGAAGAGACAGAGACACAGGGAGAAGACAGCCATGATGGAGGCAGAGTATGGAGTGACGTATCTACAAACCAAATATCCGCAAACATCAGAAGATGAAAGAGGTAAAGCAGGATTCTTCCTTACAGTTTCAGAGGGGAAGTGGCCCTGCAGACACCTGGATTTCAGTCTTCTAACCTCCAGAACTTTTTTTTTAAGCCATCAAGGTTTGTAATAATTTTTAATGGTAACCATAAGAAAATAGTACAGAAATTAGGGAATCTCATGTTTACTACAGGATAAAAAGTGAATACATGAGAGTACTGAGTGACCACCAAGAACAGTTAAAGAACTTACTATCTTATTACCCTTTCCCTTTCATTTTATTTATTTTATTTTTTTATGATTTCCTTTCAGTTCATTTCTTCCTATTACAACAATTATTGCATTGTTTTTTGGTTTGTTATTCTTTTTAAAGTATCATTGATGTACAATCTTATGAAGGTTTCACATGAAAAACAATATGGTTACTACATTCACCCTTATGATCCAGTATCCGCCCATGCCCATTGCAGTCACTGTCCATCAGTGTAGTATGATGCCACAGAGTCACTATTTACCTTCTCTGTCCTACATTGTCTTCCCCATGATCCCCCCACACCATGTGTGCCAATCATAATATCCCGCAATCCTCTTCTCCCTCCCTCTCCACCCACCCTCCCCCACCCCTCCCTCTTGGTAACCACTAGTCCCTTCTTGGAGTCTGTGACTCTGCTGCTGTTTTGTTGCTTCAGTATTCTTTCCTTGTTATACTCCACAAATGAGGAGAAACATTTGGTACTTGACCTTCCCCACGTGGCTTATTTCACTGAACATAATACCCTCTAGCTCCATCCATGTTGTTGCAAATGGTAGGATTTATTTATTATGGGTGAATAGTATTCCAGTGTGTGTATATACCATGTCTTATTTATCCATTTGTCTACTGATGGACACTTAGGTTACTTCCATATCTTGGCTATTATAAATACTGCTGCAATAACATAGTGGTGCATATGTCTTTTTGAATCTGAGAACTTGTATTCTTTGGATAAATTCCTACGAGTGAAATTCCCGGGTCAAATGGTGTGTCTGTTTTTAGATTTTTGAGAAACCTCCATATTGATTTCCAAAATGGTTGAACTAGCTTACATTCCCACCAGCAGTGTAGGAGCATTCCCCTTTTTCTACATCCTTGCCAGCATTTGTTGTTCCTAGTCTTTTCAATGCTGACCATCCTTACTGGTGTGAGATGATATCTCATTGTGGTTTTAATTTGCATTTCCCTGATGATTAGTGATGTGGAGCATCTTTTTAGGTGTCTGTTGACCATCTGTATTTCTTTAGAGAATTGTCTATTCATATCCTCTGCCCATTTTTTAATTGGCTTGTTTGCTTTTTGGGTGTTGAGGTGTGTAAGTTCTTTATATATTTTGGATGTTAACCCCTTGTCAGATATGTCATTTACAAATATATTCTCCCATACTGTAGGATGTCTTTTTGTTCTGTTGATGGTGTCCTTTACCATACAGAAACTTTTTACTTTGATGTAGTCCATGTGTTCATTCTTGATTTTGTTTCCCTTGCCTGGGGAGATTTGTCCATGAAGAACTTGCTCATGTTTATGTCCAAGAGATTTTTGCCTGTTTTTTCCTAAGAGTTTTATGGTTTCATGACTTACATTCAGGTCTTTGATCCATTTTGAGTTTGCTTTTGTGTCTGGGGTTAGACAATGATCCAGTTTCATTCTCTTACGTGTAGCTGTCCAGTTTTGCCAACACCAGCTGTTGAAGAGGCTGTCATTTCTCCATTGTATGTCCATGGCTCCTTTATCATATATTAATTGACCATATATGCTTGGGCTAATATCTGAACTCTCTATTCTGATCGACTGGTCTATGGATCTGTTCTTGTGCCAGTAACAAATTGTCTTGAATACTATGGTTTTGTAGTTGAGCTTGAAGTTGGGGAGCATAATCCCCCCATCTTTATTCTTCCTTCTCAGGATTGCTTTGGCTATTTGGGGTCTTTTGTGTTTCCATGTGAATTTCAGAATGATATGCTCTAGTTCATTGAAGAATGCTGTTGGTATTTTGATAGGAATTGCATTGAATCTGTAGATTGCTTTTTTTTGCATGGCCATTTTGCAATATTAATTCTTCCTATCCATGAGCACGGTATGTGTTTCCATTGATTGGTATCTTCATTAATTTTGCTCATGAGTGTCTTATAGTTTTCAGAGTATGGGTCTTTCACTTCCTTGGTTAGGTTTATTCCCAGGTATTTTATTCTTTTTGATGCAACTATGAATGGAATTGTTTTCCTGATTTCTTTTTCTGCTAGTTCATTGTTAGTACAGGAATGCCACAGATTTCTGCATATTAACTTTGTATCCTGCAACTTTGCTGAATTCAGATATTAGATCTAGTGGT